TGCTTCCTCCAGGCTCACACGAGTCTCTTCACTACTCTATTAGGCCCCAGTCACACGAGCCTAGACACAAGTTGTCTATTCCTTTACTGGTTGTTGAGGGTTTGCTGGAACTTCCTGGCTGTTGCAAGCTGAAACAGGTTGCAACAGAGAAATATAGCGTCCTAGCATTTGCTTTGGTTGCTAGCAGACTGGCAAGTGTTACACAAAGTGGAAACAGTCACAGCTTTTACTTTGAAAGCGAGCATTGTTCCTGGTTTGCATCGTACTTTTGAATATTTCCCTACTGCTCGGTGGTTAGTTTGCAAGTCTTTGGAGACTAGTTTGCATCTTTCATGCAAGCTGTGGACGATCACCACAAACTGCTAGGCACCAAAGCAATCAGAAGGAGGTTTACGGTCCATCACCAGCTTTACCCAGCAACAGTCAGCAACCACTCCCCAAACAACAGACCAATAGGTCTCTGTGACTGAGGCCTTAACACTGAATTTGTCATTACACTTTTGGTAGAAAATTAAAGAAAAACTAACGTCCTTTTAGCCTCAGTGGGGTGATATGCTACATGGTAACCATTATACCTGCCAAATGTTAATTCGATGCTGCGAGCATGCTGCTATGAGCGCCACCCTTAGTGCACCGCTGTGTGCAGCGCTTAGTGCATAGTCTTCTTAAATCCATGTTACACAGGCCCTGTAACGTTTATAATTTCAGTTTTATAAACAGTGGGGGGGCAGCATGTGTTCAGCAGGAAGTTGTATGTTTAGTGCAGGGAAAATAAATTCTGTTTGCTTTTTTTTACACAGTTATAAACTTTATAGCTGTGTGGATTAAATCTGAGAGTAACATGTCAGAGAAATGCCAAGTGGATGATATTTCCCCATTAAATAATACACTTCCTGTGTTTTTCGCCCACTTCCAGTTTTAATTGGAATAAGATGCCGAAGAATCTAAAACTTCCCTCGCCTTAATCCGAAGGTCATTTCAGCTGCTGTTGTTTATGGATTTGTTTGCTTTGTTTTAATATAATTTCATTTTTACTGAAGTAATTTTTGTAGATTTTATAAGATTTCTTATGTGTGTTTTGTGGTGATTGTTGTTGTGTTTTACTTTTATCACTTTACCAAGCATGTTTCGAAATATGTGAAACAGTAAGATATATATAGATCATTTGATTTTGAGGACATGGTTCAAATTAGGCAATAGATTTTCATTTTTCTCCTTCCTTCCATGCATAATTCCCTCAACACTGAGTGGCCTTCACGGGGCTTCATCAAACAATGACAAACTGCCCAGAGCACATCAGTGCAATGCAACAAGACAGGTGAGACGTGTCTCCTTTGCACGTCATTTAGCCAAAGTCATTGGAGAGCAACGATAAGCCTGCTGGTGAATGGCTTGAATGAATGGTTAGATGTGGCCGCAAACCTCATTACGAGGACAAACCACGTTCGGCGGGAGGCTGATATCTCCTGCACAGGTGCACTTTGCAGTCTTGAATTTGAATAGAGAAAGGAGTAATGCTTAATGCCTTTCCCTCTGTGGGTATTGGCTTGTGCGGGACAGCGACCCGTGAAATGAATATTTTTGTGAGATGAGATTTGTTATACACAAAGAGGAAGTCCTGCTTCTCCGGCCGACACAGAGTAGAGGTATTGTACGTTCACGACGCGTCGAGCTCGGAGAATGACAATACTTCCGAAAAAGGAAGAAGATGAAGAGATGGGAGGAAAAAACTGGGCTCACATAAGATTACACAGAGAATCTGAAGCTGTCGTTTTCTACCTGATGTAGCAGATTGTGCGAGTCTGTCTGAATAATTTTTTCTTCTGCAAATGCTTTGTGAAAGTAGCTGAGTGAACTAATGACTTGCTTAATGAACAGTGGTGATTTTAAAATAGCGCTACATTTATTCATAAGAAAATTGCTCTTCAGATATTTATATGCTTTTAGGAGAACGAGAGCTCCATTAGTCGTTCTCTGGAAGAGAGAAAGACTCTTTTTAAAAACATATTCAAAAATAAGCTGTAAACAAAAGCGCCCACAGCTCCCTTTTTTAAAAATTCTTCTAAATACTGAAACTTGCAATAATAGATACAATGTATTATTTATAAATGCTTTATTGAGAATTCTTTTTAAAAAGCAGGTAGTAGAAATACTGATGAAATATTTGATGACTTGACCGAGTATTTAAGATTATTGTGTGTCTGAATGGCCTTCAGGCCATGAAGGGGCTGCAGGCGGGTTGGGGGTTTGGTGACACTGCGCTCTGCTGTTTTTGTTGTTCTGTTTTTTATCATTTTCCTAGTTTGAAAAACAAAATCGCAGATTGCAAACTAAATGCTGCAGTGCAACGAGCAGGATGCACGTACAGACCAGCGTTATTAGTCCAGGGCGGACGTAATCGATCGCGTTCTTTTCCTACTTCACATTGAGAATTGATTTTTTTTTTAAATCTTGTAAATTTGCAGAAACAGAACAAGCACATATTTACAATCAGTCTTCATTGTCAGTCTTTCCATGTTGCACCAGTTTAGAGTTGTAACTTGTCTGAGGAGCTACATTATCATATATTCTACATCCTGGAAAACATGAATTTCTTTCGGCGAGGACGCTAATGAGCGCTTACATATATTGTAAGCAAGTTTCTCATCAGACTTTGTAAAATATAACGAATCGCTTTATTTCGCTCCCAAATTTTTCCTGCGCAAAGGGACCGAATCAAACTAAAGAAGCAATTTTCTGACGAGGAGGCAACAGCCGCAGTCAGAGCACGAGATGCTCGGCTGGTTAGCAGATGAACTGTGAGCTTAAAGGTCGCACTCTTCCTTCCTGATTTCACACTTTGAGAAATCTGATGGCTGTTTATCAAAATTTACTCCAGTGTTTTATTTCTGGCCAAATTCAATAAAGATGTTTAAGTATTTGTAATTAATGGTAAAAATGTGTTAATTTTAAAAGCAATTGTAAATCCTTAGACTGACTTATTTCATTCTAATGGTGCAGAGTTATTTTAGGTTGTAGAGCTTATTAGCACCTTTATATATAATGTTCTTATATATAAATAAAGCTGCTGCTTTCTCGTTGATAGTGATGGACTTAAATATTTGACCTGTTGCTAGTAAAGTCATATAAAGGAATGCACAGTGTGTAATGACATCGTCCAAAAATAACAGCAGACAGGGGGCAGAATTGAGTTGACTGCAATCTACTGACATCTAGTTGTGAACAATTATACACTATACCTTTAACCACGCAAAAGCTAATGCTAATTATATATAATTATTATAGTTTAGTATTAAATGATCAATAAACAACGTCCAGTATTGGTTTGTTAGCA